CACTTAATTTCCACAGTCACACTATAACAAATGCTATAATTCACAACGAATAACTCACTTGCTCAACTCAATCGCCAGTCTCTCTCTGTCTGCAGTTCAATTAATATTGTTGCCGTCACTTCTTGGCCATCTTATATAAAGAATACCATACGTCTAGTAACCTCTCGAGGCTTCACGAAGCTTCGAGAATATGACGTGTTACTAGCGTCACGTGACCTCCGCTGTCGTAACAATATTTTTAACATTCACCTTTCTGTAACATTCAGCATTTTGACATACAATTTATTAAGATTTCGGATTGGAATAAATAAGAATTTTATAATAATAATTATAATTATCACATCCTATAATATTATAATCTTGTTTTACAAAAATAATTAATATATTTTAGTAACTGATAATTTAAATTTTGTTTTGATTGTATAGCTATCTTTGCCTACCATGACAATCGAAACCCAGTTTTTAGCATTGTAAGTCTGCGGATGTACCACTGAACCACTGGGGGGCAAATAATTTAAATATTCCACTAATTCAATAATTGTATTTCATTTTGATTATCTTCATTTATACAAGTATTAATTTTTTAAAGAATATGCTTTATAAAAAACATTTTGTTGACTTTCGGAATTTGTAGTGCCTTTTGGAGAGATTTAGACATTTTTGGAAGTAAAATTTTTAATAAAAGATCTTGAATAAGTCTCGAAGTTGCAATGATGAAACATTGGCTGAAATAAAAGTTTTTTTAATTATTATCTAAAGAGTACAGGTCATTTTATTACTAACTTTATTGTAAAAATTTATAAAAAACAGTTAAACCCTATTGTAATACTTAACAAATGTTTTTGTTATTCTTTGATATAAAATACCTAAGATAAATAAAATTTAATTCCATGTTTTTACATTGAAGTGTATATATGTCCTAAAAGAAACACCATTCTTAATCTGCTTTCTTCCAGTTTGAAGAAATACGTGATGTGATTAGCCGGTATGAAACATTAGTTGAAACACATAAGGTAAATTAATAGTATCATCAAAATATTTATACTATCATGCAGCTTGCGACATGTACTTAACTGGATATTCATATTTGAATTATCTGGTAAATATTCTGATTAATTCAGTATTTAAATTAAAATAATTCTGCATTCCTGATACCATTTCATTTGTTTGTCTTTGAAGAAATAATATATTTATCACTATGAGCTATCTGCACTCTGTCCACTATGAGGAATTGAACCCCAGAGTTAATGTTGTAAGTCCATAAAGTTACCACTAGGGGACATTTATCACTGAAGAAGTTTTATAGGTTTATTGTTTTTATTTGTACTCTGTACATTTTAAGGAAGATTATTAAGTACTCGCTGCAGTGTTGCCAGTTTAATTCTGTTTTACTTTAAATGGTTAACTAATTAGAAATATTCTTTGTTTCTAGTACAATATTCTATGAAGGTAACAGCTATGCTTTCCCACAATATTTTGTATGTCAGTGTTTCCCTACCAGGGTGGAACTGCCCCCCTAGTGGGCGTTATTAAAATTCAGGGGGCAGTAAACTTTGAGGGGGTGGACAGAAAAGTTTAGAAAGTTTCAAAGTTATATTTGTTAAACTGACTATTATTGCCTTACAATTTTCATTTCAGTAAAATATCTTAATAGCCTAAAAATTTATTAGAAGGGAGCATGAGTGCTCATCATTTGCTGTGGCAAAAAAGGCTGGGAAACACTGTTCAAACTTTACACACATGTTTTAATAATGTAGTTAATACTGTAAATTTTGTTACATCAGAATTGCATAAAGTACCTCGTAAATGTTTTCTAAGTAAAGTGTATATTAACCATAATTATTTTTTTGAACCAAAGTTTTAATTTACATACGTGTGCAATGCATATATCTGTAAACACTTATAACTGTATTGAAGAGAATTAGTCGTTGCTCTTCAAAATATTTGAAAAGTGCTGTTATAAGTTTAAGATTATAAGAAGTGATAATTTTGCTAACATCTGCAGGACCTAGTGAACAGAGAACAGAAGTATGAAGAGAGGATAGAAGAGGAACGAGTTAAAACGATAAAATACACAGAGGTAGAGTTTAGTGATAATACTTTACAGCCTACCATGAAAAAATAATCATTATAATTAATAGCATATAAACAAGATAAATATGATTACAAGAATTGTCATTACTTTTAGAATTTAAATTATATATATATATATACATATATCTAATAATTGTTTTCTTTTGAATAGGAGAAACACAATGAAATACTTCAATACAATAATAAATTGGCAGAGTTGCAAACTAGATTCGACAAGGCCCAAAATGAAGCAATTAAATGGGAATCTCGTTGGATGCATATAAAGAATACTGCAGCCATGAAAACCTTGCTACTGGGTCAAATTAGAATGTAAGTTATTCATCATGTTTTCAACTTAGAAGTTAAAGAATTGTGAATTCAGCCCTTTAAAGGTATTGCATACTAACATTTGAATTGAATTCTTTAGCATTTATACTTGGGATGTCCTTTTCTTTTTACAACTTATTCATGATATTGTGAAAAATGTTACTTTGAACATGTTCTAACTAATTTTCTTATTCTTTTTTGAGGAAAAAAATATATATATATTGATTATTAACCAACAAAGTGCTGATTTTTTTTTTCTAAAGAGCTGTTGTCTTTGCACTTCTTTGGGGAAACAATGCAAGATATAATTGTTTTGTTTCTATCTTTACATATTATGCTTTTAGCTCATTACGTTCTATTAATAAGCTTTTTAGAGTCCGTTAGTTTGAGAAATGCTATGTTCACAGTGAACCTCAAAATATCTGATATGGAAGGCTCTAGAAACTCTTACACTATGTAATCAAATTTATAACTAGCAGCTTGTATATAGTCACTGATTTTATAAGATAACTCTATCAACTTTTATATTGTCAATAATTCTATAATATAGCTCTAAAAATGTATATATAGACACTAATTTGTAAGGTAACTAGCAATTGTTATATAGTCACTAATTTTATAAGGTAACTAGCAATTGTTATATAGTCACTAATTTTATAAGGTAACTAGCAATTGTTATATAGTCACTAATTTTTATTAGGTAACTAGCAATTGTTATATAGTCACTAATTTTATATGGTAACTAGCAATTGTTATACAGTCACTAATTTTGTAAGGTAACTAGCAATTGTTATATTGTCCCTAATTTTATTAGGTAACTAGCAATTGTTATACAGTCACTAATTTTATATGGTAACTAGCAATTGTTATATAGTCACTGATTTTATAAGGTAACTAGCAATTGTTATATTGTCACTAATTTTATAAGGTAACTAGCAATTGTTATATAGTCACTAATTTTATAAGGTAACTAGCAATTGTTATATTGTCACTAATTTTATAAGGTAACTAGCAATTGTTATATAGTCACTAATTTTGTAAGGTAACCAGCAATTGTTATATAGTCACTAATTTTATATGGTAACTAGTAATTGTTATATTGTCACTAATTTTATAAGGTAACTAGCAATTGTTATATAGTCACTAATTTAGTAAGGTAACTAGCAATTGTTATATAGTCACTAATTTTGTAAGATAACTAGCAACTTTTATATAATTACTGATTTTGTAAGATAATTGTCACACTTTGTATAGTCACTAAATTTAGAAGGTAACTCTAGCAACTGTTTTATAGTAACTAATTCTATAAGATAACCTTAACAACTGTTTAATAGTCACTAATAGCTAGTAACTTTATATAATCATTGATTTATTAGCTGTTTCCAGACATTTTTAGCCATTAATTTTACTAGGTGCCAGATTTCTGATACTTAAATTTACTGACACAAGAATCTAAATGATTTATACAGAAATATTTATAACTCCAGTCAAAAGTAGTTGACATGATGTAGATACACATCTCTTCCTGTACATTTATTGTTAAAAAAACACTATCTACAACCTAATAGTTATTTGTATTCCTCACAAAAGCAGTACAGTATTTTTTCCAATACATTATATTACCTCTTTTCACATAAATAGCTATTCTCGTTCGGTGCTCCCACGTACCTTACATTCAACTGGTTCAACTGCATCTCACATGTAAATCATCATGCAACGACCCTCCACCAATAAGAGTGTGATCATCATCATCATCATCATAGACAGCAGTACATCGTTAATTCACCTGATGCTTAGCTG